ATCTATCATACCTTTCATTAAATATATCTATCATGCCTTTCATTGAATATATGTATGTCTGTATATGTCTATATGATTACTGTTTAAGTTTTCCGCAATGAACAATGAGTTTTTCCTGCAGTGACATTTGAAGTTTCCAGGAAGAAGATGGGGCCCCATAACATCAACTCCACCCGGTGGATATATCGTCATGATACTGATAGCGCGACAAGACCTGTTTGGGGTACCAGCTGCACAAGATGGTTCCAACGTGGTTAGCTGAAATGGTGCACATCTTGTACAACATTCTGGCAAGACCTCCACAAAATACTCAGAGACTATTTGCAATTTTAAAAGACATTGATCTTGAAATTTAACCATCATTTTACTTTCACAGGATCCCCCAGAAAGAATGTTGCCCCCATGACAGCTGGAAGTAATTCTAGAGAACGATGTCCCCTCTCCCAGTAAAGTTTGTCCTTGGGTCTAGGGACATCATTTAGGGGTTGGTTATAATTAGTATACGGTTGAGGGTTGGGGGAGGAATTTTATAAGTGCAGGAATCCTAAAAAAAAAAAAAAGAAAAAAAAGAGGGATAATTGGATTATTGGATAATAGATTTGTACTTGTGAGTTATTGTTTTTAGACAAATATATTGGTATTGATTCTTATATATTGATACAAAGTTAAATTATGTTCACTATTGTATACATGCATGCTTTTACCTCTGTTTAAAACATTTTTATGTATTGATATATATATATATTGTATTGATATATGTATATTTACCATATTGCATTGTACACTTCTACCTCTGATTAAGATACTTATATATTGTCTATGTATTGATAAATATATTTACCATATTGCAATGTATACTTGCACATTGTTTATATTTGGAGGTCAAATTGTCCTCATTTATTGCACAGTTGGTTATTGTCTCAATCTTTAAGTTAGATAGGTATTGAGAATTATACAGATCAATAGTCATCTAATTTTGTCATTTATAATTAGACTAATCAGGTTCTTTAGATACATAGAGATTATATTCAGTATAGATAGATAATCTTCAACCTCTTCAAAGAGCTGTAGAAAATGGCCTTTAATCTAATTCAGAGTTCTGTGGTAGTGAGACACAATCGCTCCTGGCAACACCGATCTATTCCCGAGACAATGTTGAGCACCAAAGACACTCCACCTGGAGCCTTTCTTCTTGACAGAACTGGCCTTTGGGTAAAGAAATGTCCACCCCTCAACTACTGACAGAGTTACAGAATATCCGTAAATGGATAAAACAGGACTGTCATATCCTGCCAAGACAGGGTAAGATAGTTTTGAAAAGTTCCTTGCCTTTGAAAATGGTATGTCAGTTACGTCAGGCCTTAGCCAAAGTTGGTTGCTTCAAAGCTGCAAACGTGACTTTGGGTGTTTGCCCAGGTAGCCAGTTGTCTCTGTGATTTTCTGGAAGCTGTTTGATTGCACTTCCTAATTACTCAGGTAACATTATTTCCCTTCTCAGATCTTCGATGGGATTAAAGATTATATAAATGTAGTTACTTTCCTCTCATGACTTGGCCAAGTTATTTGTTATACAAGACTTAAGCTAGTTAGAATAGGATATTTGTATATTTGTATTTATTGTATATAATTTCATAGGTTTGTACTTATTGTATATAATTTCGTAATAGGCTTAGAACTCTCTTACTTAAACAAAAGGGGGAGATGCTGTGGGAGCTCCTTCCGCTCCTTCAGCCAATAGCCGCTGAGATACCAGCCCATTGGGGCATGGTCTCTCTCTCTTTAAAAAAGCAGTGGCTGTCCTCCACTCTCTCTCTGGCTTCTGGCTCCACTTCTGGCTCCTAGACTCCTTTCCTGTTCGCGCAGAGGGGCTGTTGTCTGGGACGGTAATTTGCAAGTTTTTCCCCTTTGAATAAATAACCATTCTATTAATCATAATTCCAAATTGGTGTGGGATTGTTTGTGACTTACGCCTTCACATCATTCTACTGACTGGTTGTTTTTTCACTAAAGTTTTATTGGCTATTTTAAAACATGATAGTACTGTTTCATTCATTCCTCTTGCTGCATAGAAAGGGTAGAAAGACCTTTTCTGTAAAGTGTTGGTCAGAAAGTATTTCAAGTTCTTGCATAAATTAGTTCACGAGCATGGCTATGTTCCAACACATTATTTACAAAACAGAAAGCTGTGCCTGTAATTTTCGACTTTTGTCATGAAACAGTGATTCTTGAACCTGAGAACATGAACCCCTCATATGAAACTTATAAAAACAAAACAAAACATGGGGACCAGATAGACAGATCATGATTATAAAGATAGATTTCAGTACTGATTGGCTTTTTTTGTTTGTTTGATTTTTGGTTTTGGTGTTGTTGCTTCGAAACAGGATTTTTCTGTGTAAGAGAGCCCTGGCTGTCCTGGAACTCACTCTGTAGGCCAGGCTGGCTTCAAACTCACAGAAATCCACCACCTGCCTCTGCCTCTTGAGTGCTGGGTACTTTTATAATCGATAAGTTAATCTAAGTTAACATAGAAATCAATGTAAAGTCTTGAAGATTTTAAATGTATTTTGTACTGTGCTTTCAATAAATTAATATTATCAACTATTTGCTAGACAAGCTAGCTGTACTGTACACCATTCATCAACACTCCAGTAATTTCCAATCCTTTGCAGAGTTTGGTACCTTATTGCTGCAAGTTCTTGTCTGACACGGGTGTTTCTATGCTAATGATTCTTCTCTCTTAGTCTTGATTTGATTCAGGAAAGGGTTAATAAATTCCCCATCAACTCAACAGTAGTTAGGTGACTTGTGGTCTAGGGATGTAGTTAGCTTAGTGGCAGAGGACTTGCCTAGCATGTGTGAGCCCCTGGTTTAAACCTCAATTCTGTTAAAAAAAATTAATAAATTTTTGTTACATTTTTCCAATCTTCAAATTATTCCCAAATTATTTGCATAGAGACAATTAGCTCTTACTGGCATATCATATTTAGTTAGTTAAGACTCTTAATGCCTAGTATTTGCAGGATGAATGAGCTTGGATTTGGGGACACAAGATGACTATCTGAAGAAAATTTGGGTTGTCACAGGAGAAAGTATGTGTAGCTGCCACCTCTTGCATAGAGACAAGGGTGATTCTAAACACCCCTCCGTGTACAGGACAGCCCATAACAAAGAATCAATTGGACCAGACACTAATGCTGATATTAAGACGCCCTGTGCTAGGGACTAATATACACATCCTAAATTTATCAGATTACATTGAAATTACATTAAACCACATTTTTACAAATAGAAAAAAGCTCACAACTTAAATGTCATTCCAATGAACAATGAACACTTCCTTTATTGATCTCTTTTCTTCGGCATTCTACAATTTCTAAATTATGCGGTTAATTTTTAATAATGAAATCAATTTTTCTCATAAATTTAAAAAATGGCTTTATTTATCCTCTTCCAGCCCTCTTCATTTGTTCTTTTCTATAATCTGGGTGTCCATCTGCTGGTTTTTCCTCTGGGCTGCTGTGCTCCCATTTGATTTTGTTTGGGTTTGTTTGTTTTTGTAGTAAAACTGCTGCATCGAATTCTTTCAGGTTGTGTCTGCTGGAAAGTGTTCTTTGTTTTCCTTTTTCAAAGCTAGGTTCCCTCGATCTAGTTGACAGAGTCCAGCAGTCTCTTCTCCCCATCCTTTGCATGACTGTAACCCTTCCCAGATATTGCTGTCTTGAGAGTGGATTTTTGTTTGGTTTGGTTTGGTTTGGTTGGTTTGTTTTTTGTTTTGTTTTGTAGTTCTGGGTCAGAATCCAGTCAGGATCCAGCCAGTAGCATGCCCACCAAGTGCCCTTCTCTGAACTGAGACTGCCCACCCTCATATGCCATTCTTGCTGCTGTTTCTCCCACGGTGGATTTTTTTCCTCCTGTACTGTGGGTTTTCTTTTCTTTAAATGTGTTTTTTGTTATTGTTGGGTTTTTGTTTTCTCTGTTTTGCTTGTTAGCCACTTTCCTCTTCTGGGCCCTGGTTCACAGTCTCTACATTTATCCTGTTAGACTACACTGGGAGATCTGAAATCTGTGGCTTGGTGCTTTATCAAATATCAGTGATTCATTTCACTGGATATGGTGATGCACACCTGTAATCCCTGCACTCGCGAGGAGAGGCACGAGAATCAGGAGTCCAAAAGCAGCTTCTTCTACAGATGGAGCTCAAGACCAGGCTGCTTACACAAGTTCCTGACCGGGGAAAAGGCAAAAGCAAAAGTAAAAGCAAATCTTTTTAAATATTTACTATCTATTTATTATGTATACAATATTCTGTCTGTGTGTATGTCTGCAGGCCAGAAGAGGGCACCAGACCTCATTACAGATGGTTGTGAGCCACCACGTGGTTGCCAGGAATTGAACTCAGGACCTTTGGAAGAGCAGGCAATGCTCTTAACCACTGAGCCATCTCTCCAGCCCCTAAAAGCAAATTTTTTTGCCACGATTTTCAAGTCATTTTTCTCTCTCCAGCTCTCTCTTCCTCTTCCTGGACTCATGCATGGGTTCATTGCCCTCTGACACGGCCCCCCTGACTGCTTCCGTGCCATCGGCTCCCTGCTCCTTGTGTTCTCTTCCTTTACAGTGAACTGCCTTTAAGCTAATTACTCCTTTACATTTTCACCCCACGATCTGCTGGGAAGCTCAACCGATGTGTTCCTTGTGTTTTCACAAGAAAAATATAATCAATTCTTAATTCCCAACTTTCTTGCTTTACAGCATTTCCGTTTGTCTCCTCAAATAGGACATATCCTAACCTACTGTTAGCTCACAAGGGTGTAGTAGCTCCGTCAACCCTCTATTCCAGAGTCTAGTAACTAGATCTATGTCTCTCAAAACCCACTTCAATGTTTTCTCTTGTATATGGGTCTCCATTCTACTTATTTTTGTACCCACTCAAAAAGTTTTAATTTATTGCCATTGTCTAAAATGCAACCTTAAAGTTTAAGCGTAATTTTGGGTTTTTTTGTTTGTGTGTGTGTGTGTCTGTGTGTGTGTGTGTGTGTGTGTTCTCTATCTTTCCTGAGGAGTAAGGATCTTCTTTCTTCCTTTTATGTGAAGGCAATTACTCCAACTCTCCCTACATTAATGTTTGAACAGAAACAAGCCACGTTGCTTTAAGCTTTCATTTACCTGTAATTTGCCTAATACTCAAATAATAACTGTGTCCTTGAAGTGTTTTTTTGGTGGTTTTCCTTCTGTTTTGATTTTACAGCGCAGAGGAGGGTGTTACAGTTTCAGAGTTTTGATTCACTGTCAAGTTCAGACCTGGGTCCAAGACCCCAAGTGCAACGGGGTATGAAGAATGTGTATCCCTTCTACTTCCCAACCCACCCTCCGCTCTCGCTTTCTTGTCGATGCTGTGACTGGTGAGTGGGAAAATAAGGGTTCTATTTTCAAATCTGCAGCGTCTTCTGCTGACCCACTGCTTTATTACACATGACCATGGATTTAGTAGGTCTAAATCTGAAAATGAAAGATTTGAACTGAAATCAAATAGTAGTATTTGAAATGGGAACAAATGTTTGACTACGCTTGGGGATTGCATGAATCAGACTGGCTAGGACCCCGTGGCAAGGGGCACGAATCATTTAGAGACAGCGCTGATCACAAGTGTGCTGACCTGTGTTGGTAATACATGGGATCCAAACACTTTCCTAAGACCGCTCCTCACCTGGTAGCCTGAAATTGGATTTGCCAATTTAGGAGAACCAGTTGCTTCCACAGTGTGGAGACTGCTCCACACTGCCACCTACAGCACCCTGAAGATCTCCGAGAGATGGGTGAAGTTAGAATTGTTGGGTTTTCTCCCCCCAGGATGAGTCAGTGTATAAAGCAGAGTTGGAGTTAATTAAGACAAATCCTAAAATGGATTTAATCTCCAGGGCTGATAGGAAAAGAGGCCCCAGGGGAAGGATAAGCTACACCTAAATATGGGCGTGGCTTCTCAGAGAGTTGAGTTTAACTATCTTTACAGTAGCTAAGTACACGGTTTTTGAAGGTTTCTGAAGTTACTTCTCAAAGAGTTATTAAGGAATTTAAATGAGATGAGAGGGTGTCCCTGAGGTGCTCGGGATAGGATTATAGCTGAGGAGGTAAAACCCTAAGTCACAGGGTTGCACAAGGCAACTAAGATGTATTATTACTGTAAATAAGGTTTATGGTCCTGTTAGTGAGTTCCCAGAAAGGAATAAGATCATACTTGAAGGTCATATATGCTCAGGCCTTAGGCACGTGTGGTGGTTTGAATAGGAATGGCCCACATAGACTCTCTTGTCTGAAGGCTTGGCCCACAGGTAGTGGCACTATTAGTAGGTGTGGCCTTGATGAAGGAAGTGTGTCACTGTGGGGGCCGGCTTTGAGGTGATACCTGCTTGAACTAAGCCCATTGTGGCTCACTATCACCTGCTGACTGCATATCAAAATGTACAACTCGCAGCTCCTTTTCCAGCACTGCGTCTGCCTGCATGCCACATGATAAAGGGACTAAACCTCTGAATTGTAAACCAGCCCCAACTAAATGTTTTCCTTTATAAGAGCTGCCATGGTCATGGTGTCTCTTCAAAGCAATAAAACCCTAAGACAGCATGGTTAATTGCTGTTAATATTCTTACTAATATAATTAATATTAATATAATTGTAATTAATATTCTTATTCAGAACACTTCTATATGAAAGGAATATTGTCTTTAGATAGGAAACCTCCAGAACAAGTGTTAGTTGTGCTGGAATGCTTGACTTTTCAGCTGGTGAGAAGCTTTAAACTTCCACTTTGGAGTGAAGGGTTCTCCTCTCATATTCCCTTAAGTCCCCCATCTTTCTATTCTTCCTCAGAAGCCTTGTCCTTTTTTTTTAAGTTAGCATCAGAGATAACTGCCAGATGTTATATATTTCTGCCACTGTTCGAAGCTTGATTAGATAAAAGGGAAGGATCATGGGTTGTACCATCCAATGGGGAAACTGTTGAATTGTACTGTAGGACAGGACACTATCAGTGGGAGATGATGAAGTCACGTGGATGCTCTGGCTTTACAGTGTTTGGTCTCAACTCTTCCTCTTGTGGGGGCTCAAGGCTCTCGTTTTCAGGACAGTGGTGAGACCTGTGCAGTTTCTTATCCTTCTTTACCATGATGCCTGATGTCACACATGCACCCTACAGACTCTAGCTGAAAGGTTCTGTGTAAGGATCTTCCAGTGGAAGGCATTGCGGGGACATTCTTAGTGCATGAGCAGGAAGGAGTCATGCCATGTTCCCTAGTGGTGAGCACCCTCCTGCACAGTGAGGGTTCAAAGTAGGCACCTTCAATTATTGTCTTCTCTGCAACCACGATGGAAGGCAGCATGTCTCCACAGTACCTATTAACCAGCTCAGAAATCGTGTCTGCTTTTAAGGGACTTCTGAACCTCTAAATTCCTTCCTTGTTCAATGTCCAGGGTTCTCAGGCATGGTAGTTGTTCCCTGCAACAGCCACTTCTGTGTGATCTGGGAATTTCCTTCTAGCATTAAGCACCACTAACTGGCTTAGTGATTCCTTGCGCTGAATTCTCCCTGTTCTAATTAGTAATGTGGTTTCTGGCTTGGCATGAGAGATTTGAGACAAACTCTGCCCAATAAATGCAATAGGGCACTTATATAGTCATTTGTGTGAATGCCTCTCCTGTGAAATGGAAACATTTGGCAGGCAAAGAGGGAAGCAAATCACCTGGTGTCTTGTTGTAAATGATGTTGAGAAACTATGCTAATTTACCACACACCCATAAGGCAGACAACAAGCTTCTAGTGATGCAATTACATAATTATCTTTTGTGTCTTCAAGCATACTTCCGTGTGCTCATTTTCTTTGAAAAGCATCCACGTGGTTCGTTTCTCTATTTAACTATACACATGTGAAGTAAAAGACTATCATAAAAAATAAGGGATTTCATGTTTCTGTCTTGCAAGTCTTTCTGTGTGCTGGCTGTGTGTGTGTTTGTGTGTGTTTCCTCACCCCTAAAAAAGCCTTTCTTCACCTGTAGAATAGAATTTATAAGTAGCGGGAAAACTTTGTTAGTATTAAAAAGAGTTAGGCAATGCTGGGCCAGCTTAAACCTGAATTGGATAATTAGCCTTTCACATGATATTATTTAAAGCTAACTAAGCAAGATATTACAGATCTAAACGAGATGTTACAGATCATGATGTTAGATTCTTGCATTGAGATTGTTCTGTTTGGGTTTAAGATATTAATAGATAGCAAACAGTGTCTCCTTTTATTGCAGATTATGTGACAGACAAGGGCTGAAATTGGATAATTTACCCTTACATTCAGGGTATCTTCTCTTCTCTTCTCTTCTCTTTTCTTTTCCAAAATAGGGTCTCACTATTTAACTCTGGCTGTCCAAGAACTCACTACATAGACCAGGCTGGCCTCAAAGTCAGAGATTCACCTGCCTTTGCCTTTGAGTGCTGGGATTAAAGGCGTGCACTGCTATGTCTGGTCAAGGAACATATTTTTCTAAAGCCTGACTTCAAGAAGTAGTATGAATGCACTTGAGGGAGGGCAAGTCTAAATAAAAGGTTGAATTCTGAAGGAGGAAGTATTTCTCACAGGATGCTTCTACAGAAACTACAAGGTATATCTGTATACTTAGAAATCAGAAACATTCCCAATTAGGGTATTTAAAGTTCACATGATACCGTATCGGGATTAATATACTAAGCAGTTGACAGTATTTTATCCTCCCAAAATAAGCTTTTTAATAGTTTTATTTTGTTGAAGAGGTTTACTGTAATTTCAGTTTTATACGGGTCATATGCCATATCCTGTGTTAGCTTTGGTAATCTAAACTATGAAGTGAATTAAATGAAATCTGTGTCCCTGTTTTGCAATAAGGAACACAAAATTCTTCCCAAGAACTGCTACCATACTAGAACATGATCACACACAAAAAGATTACTAACCAATGAGAAATTCTGAACAAAGAAAATCAAATTCGGGCTAGTTTCCCCGCCAGCCATCCCAGCTTCCATCCAGAGGGCCTTCGGAGTGCTTCCCCGCCAGCCATCCCAGCTTCCATCCAGAGGGCCTTCAGAGTGGTGAGTTGACTCGGGCCCGCGGCAGGGGCCCGGCGAGGGGGAGCTAGGACTTTCCCCGACCCCATAGACTCCCAGGTCAGCCTGCTCTGCTGGCTCCACCCTGCTAGCTTCCCCGCCAGCCATCCCAGCTTCCATCCAGAGGGCCTTCGGAGTGATGAGTTGATTCGGGCCCGCGGCAGGGGCCCGGCAAGGGGGAGCTAGGACTTTCCCCGACCCCATAGACTCCCAGGTCAGCCTGCTCTGCTGGCTCCACCCTGCTAGCTTCCCCGCCAGCCATCCCAGCTTCCATCCAGAGGGCCTTCGGAGTGGTGAGTTGATTCGGGCCCGCGGCAGGGGCCCGGCGAGGGGGAGCTAGGACTTTCCCCGACCCATAGACTCCCAGGTCAGCCTGCAGTGCTGTTTCCACCCTGCTAGGCTCTCCCGCCTGCCATCCCAGCTTCCATCCAGGTACAAATTTCTATATTTCTCCCCTCCCACTGAGGCCATAAAATTTCCCCAGTTCAGCTGCCTTGCACACTGGGCCTGCTCTGTAGGGGCATCCCGGAAAGAGGGAGTGCCTGTGCTTCAATACCCTGCCTGGGGAAAGGTAGGCATTCTATCAGTGAACTCCCTGCCCAACAAGGGAACCTGACCCGATACCAGAAGTTCCAATAGAGAGCATTGGATCGAAGAGATGGGCAGACGCCAAGGCAAGACCTCCTCCAACAATCTGAAAAACAACATGAAAATATCAGATCCCAACGACCCTACAACAGAAGGATTTGAACACTCTAACCCAGATGAAGTGGAAAAAAGTGCCATTATGAAAGCAATAGAGTCCCTTAAACAGGATATGAATAACTCCCTTAAGGAACTGGTCGAGAAGTATAACAAAAAGTTTGAAGAAATGAGTATAGAAATGGATGAGAAATATAACAAAAAGTTTGAAGAAATAAGTAAATCCGTGAGTGATACCCTGAGAAACCAAGAAAAAACAATCAAACAAGTAAAGGAAACAGTCCAAGAATTGAAAACTGAAATGGAGGCAATGAAGAAAACACAAAACGAGAACCGGCTGGATATGGAAAACCTAGGTAAACGAGCGGAGACTACAGAATCAAGCATAACCAATAGACTACAAGAGATAGAAGAACGAATCTCAGATTCTGAAGATACCATAGAGAAAATAAACGCTCTGGTCAGAGAAAACGGCAAATCCAACAAATTCTCTTCACAAAACATTCAGGAAATCTGGGACACAATAAAAAAACCAAATCTAAGAATAATAGGGATTGAAGAAGGAGAAGAACTGCA